GATATTGAGTATCATGTGAGGGTAAAAGAAAATTGCATTTACACAGCCTACTCCATTTCCTGGTGGTGGGTTTAGTGAATAAACATCCCATTTATTAATATCTGTGTGAAAGTGTTTACTGGCCACTTTGTCAGGAGATAGGCAAGATGGGAAAAAACTGGCAATTGTTACATGAGAGATCAAGCAGATTTCTGCTTGGTATGGATTGGTGATCTTATAAAAGCAAACTGGTAGTGGTCTCTGCACCATCAGGCCTGTGTTTCAGTGGTATCAGCATTTTCCTGAAGATGATGGGTCTCTATACCATCTGTATGTTCTACCATATGACATGGGGAATGCATTTGCACAAATGATGGGCTATGTCTGCAAAGCAATATTTGTACAGAGAGAATAAAACATGTCACTAGAGATGCTGCATAGGCAATGATATCCAGGAGTCCATTAACTAACTCTGTTACCTATGGCACAGTGGATTTCAGCAGCTTATGTGTTCTTTTACATGCATGAAACATGATGGAGCTATTAAGGGGGAGCAGAGATAACTACTTGTTATAGGAATATGACTCTATGTAGAATGAACTCATGCAGTGAAGTGTATGGTCAATGTTTACTTGTTTCAATACTCTAATATACATGTTCACAGTCACAATCACTCACTACTACAAACTGACTTAGGATTTATGAATAGTAACATGCCATATTTTTTAAAGCCATTATATAGAAAAGGAACACAGAGATCAAAATGTATGAATAGGTGTCAAATATCAAGAAAGATAAACTGAGGAATCAAGTATATAGTGACCTAATAACTTATTAAGTGACAATGAAAATTAATCTTCACCCAGTAATTCTTGTAGATTATTGCAAGGGAATTCAAGTATCACCTGCAACCTGCAAATCATTATGGGATATAAATGGAGTTAGTCAACCAGGAGAGAGCTTGTAAAAAAAGAAATGCTCAAATTTTAACTATGAAGATGTAAACAGAGTAATTACCAAAAAGGACAACGGGCTCACATGAAAGTCTTACTTTCAGAACAATCAACCCTCATTTTATTTTTATTTAGGTATATTTATATATCTTTTATGAGATACATTACATTAATCCAATGCATGCAGAAATTAAAAACAAAATTAAGTTAATGATTTAATCTCCTTGAGTATGAAACACTAATATGTACTAAGAATTTTAGTGCATAGATACCTAATGATGCTCAACAACTGTCCTGCTTCACCATGTCAGTTACAGAATGTCAGTCTCCCCCCTCCTTCCATTTCCCAACTCTAGAGACCTATACCATATAACATTCTTTTCTTCTCCATAATATTAACTTGCTGATTTCCATACATGAATGAGATCTTACTATAGTTGTAATTCTGTGTCTGGCTTATTACAGCAAAGGTATCATCCATGTCACCACAAGTGACAGAATTTTAGTCTTTGTCTGGCTAGATAATAGTCCATTGTACAGCTGTACCACATCATCAGCTGGAGGACATCTGAGTTCATTTCATATGTTAAATACTGTGGCCAGTGATGCAGTAAACATGGAAATGTGGGTCTCATCATGATTTCATCTCCTTCAAAGGACTTGGAGAAGCAGTCACTAGGCTGGCAGGAATGGCAAGCAAGTATTTCAGCAAATGGAGGTAATATATAGTATATATGATGACTTTCAACCAACATGTACATATATATAAACACATGTGTGTATGTGTGTATGTATGTGTGTATGTGTGTGTGTATGTGTGTAGTATGTGGTATTTGTGTATGTGGTGTGAATCTGGTGTGTATGTATATGTGTATGGTGTGTGGTATGTGGTGTGTGTGTGTATGGTGTATGTGGTAAGTGGTGTGTATATGTGTGTGTGTGTATGTGCTGTGTGGTATGTGGTATGTATGTGTGTGTGTTTTGTGTTAGGTGGTATGCATGTGTATGTGTGTGGTGTGTGTGTGTTATGTGGTATGTATGTGTGTGTGTAGCTTGTAATATTAAAAAACAATTCATGCTATTGCCACTCAGGCATTGTCCGGCGGTCTCAGTCTGTTCCTAGCCCTGTACCAAGTGCAAGACCTCATGTTTTCCCTTGCCAGAGCCTCTCCCGATCTCCAAAATAGCTCTCTCCTCCCAGAGGCTGGCTGCTGCCAAACTCGCTCAGCACTCCCAAATTTCCACAGCTAGCTGGGGCACATTCTCGCAAACCCAGGCTCTGCTGCAGTTACCACAGTTACCTTTCTCTCTGGAGCTCAGTTGAATTTCAGAAAGATGAAAACTTGCTGGGCACAGAATGTAGCAACGTAAATTCACCAACTATTCGATGTTAGAAATCTTCCAGTGGCAGATCCTAGTGGATCCACCACCTGAGCTAAGAGTCCCCAGCCTACATCTTGGTTGCCTTGCTCCCACAGTCCAAAAGGAAGTCCCCTCCTCCTGCCTTCCCTCTTCCTCTCTCAGACCCGGAAGGCCCACCTCCTTCTTGCCCAGTGATTAACTTCTTGTCATCTTTATTATTTAATTAATTAGGGGAAAATTCTGCTATCTGTGTGTGTGTGTGTGTGTGTGTGCATATGTGTGTATGATGTGTGTGGTGTATGGTGTGTGCTTATGTGTGTGTGTGTATGTGTGTGTATGGTGATGTGTTGTATGTGTATGGTGGTGGTGTGTGTGTGTTTGTCTAGATCAGACAATGCACACAAAGGCCTCTACTGACCATTACTCCAGAACCTTGTCAAGCACATGGCAATTACCACCATGGTATTTAGTAAGCAGATATGTCAAATTAGACATCATTAGTGAGTGGAATAAGAGATTGTCATAAGATTTCTACTAAAGTGAACTTCTATTTCTTGATTAGAAAATTTACTAATTAGAGATGGCATCCCAGCTTTTTACCCTCAGCTCTTGTATTTCTCCAGAACTATATCATCCACAATTTCATTAACCTACATCCAGTTCTATTTCAAATGTTTTCATATAGTTAAAATTGACATGTTAGAAATTATACTATTGATAGCTATACTGGTTGATAAAGTGTGATCCCAAACTCAATTCGAAGTCATGTATCATACACATGAGAACTGCAAAAAAATGGTAGAATGAAGCACATACTTTATCTGTTTTTTGTTCTCAAATATTTTTCTTTACTATTGAGTATTTCATTCATGTATACATAAAATATGATCAATATGATCATTAATATTCCCCATTTCCCCCTTGTCTGCCCCATATCTCTCACAGCACGTCCTCCAACCAACATCTTGTGTTCAGGTTTTTGTTGATGTTTCTTTTTAAAAACAAAATTTGATTCTTAGTGAGTTTCACATCATGCACTCCAATCACATTCATCTTCCTATCTTCTAATATTTTCCCTTCACTTTAGCAACCTCCCTGCCATAACACACACACACACACACACACACACACACACACACCCCAAAAGCATAGAAAACGATTGCATCATAAAAGCTGTTGTATGTCATGCTGTGTCCTACAGTAAATCCCTCTGCCCATACTTCTTCACTTGCAAATCCTCATTGTAATGGGTCCTTGGTCTGGTTTGAGGTTTCTTGTTTCTGTGCCACCATAAATATTGAATCTTCACCTGAACTCTTCCCAGTTATCCTGTGGTTGCCCTGAGTCATGGAGATCCTGCAGCTTTGGATCAGCAAGACTGGCTCTTTCATGAACCTCAACTATTTACAGATGATACAGATTTGGGGGTAGGCCAACACAGAGCACTGGATCTGGACTAAGATGGTCAGCATTCTGGCTTTCCCTTAGCTTCACCACCAGGAGGAGATCCCCAGCACTGCTTTGGTTATGCCAGGAGGCAGGGTCAACCCTCCTGCGCTTGGTGCCAGCTCACCTGCCTCCAGAGCCAGCTTCAATATGCTAACCCAGTCAAGGCACGGGACCCACTTTCACAAGTGTTACAGCTAATGAGGGGGAAGAAATAGCTTTCCTACACTCATGTCCTCAGAGCCAACTCTCCCAAGCACCACAGGAGGCCAGGAGTCAGGGGGAACAAGGTGGGAGGGAGGGTATGACACCTGCACCTATGCCACCTCACAGTATACAAATGGGAGGCCTAGCTCTTCAAGCTCTCACCCTGGGATTATGGGAGGGAGACTGGCTCACTAGTGCCCCTCCCACCAGGGACAACTCTACACAGCTACTCAAATGAGGTTCAGGGCCCATTCTCTCTCCTGCTGCTGCCAACCAGGGGCGGAACCAGCTCACCTTCTCTCATGACCCCAGGGCCAGCTCTCCCATCTGCCTCAGATGGTAAGGGCAGGGAAAGGAAATCATCACCCTGAACATTCATGTCTTCAGGGTGGCTTACTCACATTCCCACCACCAGGGCCAGCTCCACTGTGCAAGAAGAAGCAGGGCCCACCCTCCCAGATGCTGCTTTAAGTGAGATATGAGGCCAGTTCTCCAAAGCATAGCAGCTAGTGGGAGCATGGCCAGTTCTGCACAGACCCTGGACATCAACGGGGTCCCTGGTGAGTGTCCTGACCAGGTACATCTTCAAGTTCTCTAGTGGTGCTATGAACCACAAACATGGACAGCAACTTCTGCTGTTGGGTGGCTATGGACCCAGATATGGCCATCAGCTGCAGCTTGATCTGGGACTTCACCATGGCCTCAAGTGGCTGTGGTCCCCACTCACAACAAGCTACTCCTCTTCACCTTTGAGTCTCCAGTTCTATCTCTCTTTGTAATGCTCAAGCTGCTCCACCTCTCTCTCTCTCTCTCTCTCTCTCTCTCTCTCTCTCTCTCTCT